TTGATCCCCCAGCACCCCATGTGTTTCCCCAAGCCTACCAGGAGTGGTCTGTGAGCAGAGCGAGCCTTGACACCGCTGGGTGTGGCCCTCACCCCCCCAAAAAAAGTCTGGAGTTGTGCCCGGGGTGGGGGAGTTCTCAGAAGAGCAGCCAAATCCCGAAGGCCAGACAGGGCAGATGGCAGGGTGCCCCCCACCCAGGCCCGTGGGGTTCCACCCCTCGGTGCCCCCAGATTGACCCCGGGGTCCTCCCCCTTCCTTCCGGGAGGAAGAGCAGGGTGGCCCGCCAGGAGCCCGGCGCTCCAGGGAGCTATGCATCGTGTAAACAGAGCCGGCCACTGGCCTTTGTCAGAGCGGGCGGGGGCCTGCTGGCAAGGTGCACGCCTGTGTCCCCCCAGAGCAGAGCAGACCCACAGGGTGGGGTTGGGGTGGAGGCTGGCCCTTCAGAGACCCCCGCCCCCCACATAAACCCAGCGGGGAGGGAGGCCAGCCCCCGCGGTTGCGTCCCTTGACTTGGCCCTTGGCTGGCATGACCCCAAGTCTGGCCCATGGTCCTGGGGTCCTGGGCCACTCCCGGGGTTGGTGCGGGTTACCCACCAGGCGAGGGTGCCGCTGGCCAGCGCCCAGAGTCCTGCTCGCACAGAGCAGGGCCTGTGTGGGCCGCAGGGCGCTGGCGCCCACATAAGGGCATTGTTTGCTGAGGTAAAAGGGGTTTTTGTCTCCATCTGGAGACGGGACAGAGGGAGGAACAATTTCCCCCATTCATGGCCAGTTCCCCCATTTGAATAGCAGAGCGTTGCCCGCGTCAGGGCCCACGGGCACGGGCACGGGCACGGCCTTCCCTGCCCGCAGGGTTCCGGCACAGGTGCTCCCGGGCAGGAGTCGCCCCAGTGTGAGGCTGGCTTCCCCCAGGGGCCCTTGTGCCCACGTGGTCATGGGCTGAGGGCCTTGGGGTCCCGGGGGCGGGCGTTGCTCGGGTGTGGGGCAAATGCCTGTCCACAGCACCCCTTGGCTGGAGCCTGGGGCCCGCGTGGGGCCAGCTGTGCGCCCTCCCCAGCCATAAAGGGCCAGAGGCCTCGAGGCAGGAGCAAGGGACAACTCCCTGGCTGCAGATAAGGAAGCAGAGGAGGCGGCAGTGCCCAAGGTCGCCCTGTGGGGCTCCTCCTGCAGGGGCCTCTGTGTCTCCCCACAACCCTGCACCATTTGGAGGGGTGCGGGGGAGGCCTCAGGAGGGGAACGGGAGCCAGCCTGAGCTCTCTATCCCCTCTTTGGGGGTGGCGGAGTGTGTGTGTGTGTGGGGGGGGGGGGGGTCCCATTGCACCGAAGGCGCTGCCCAGGCCTGGCACTGGGGTGAACCAGAACAGTGGGGTCCCACCTGGGGGTCACAGTGAGGAGGAGGGAGCCTGGCTTGCGCTTCACCTCTGCCGCCCAGGGCTCTGGGGAGAGGACCCTGGATCAGCCAGGGACCAAACTGCACCCAGAACACCGCCCGTCTGGGTTCATACTGGCAATAAGGAAACGATCAGTGTGCGGCTGGGCGTAGCTCGGCAGTCAGGGGCGTGTGCTCCACTGTCCGCCCCCAGAGCCAGCCTGGCCATCTTTGGGCTCCCGGAGCACAGCCAGGAGCACCACTGGCCTGGCCCGGGTCCCACCTGGGTGCTCCTGGGTAGCTGACTAATCCCGGCCCCGCCCCCTGGCTGAGCACTGCTTAGGAAGGTCCCCCCCACCCCCCAAAAGGGAAGGGAAAGTAGGGCCTTTCTTGGCTTCGGGCATGGCTGGACTGGGAGTTTGTCCCTGCTGGCCCCTGTGGGCCGCCCACAAGTTCTGGGATGCGGGGGCGGGGGGGACACATCTTTCTTGTCATACCAGCAAAGGCCCCAACTTGTCTGACCTGGTCACTCTGGGGGCTTCTGCTCATTGGCCAGGCCTGGGTCTGACGTGATGCCCACTTGAAAGCCATGCCATGACCACCCCCACCCCTCGCCCCCAGTTAGGCAGAGGGCTGTGTGGGGTGGTGGTTAGCTCTGCAGGGCAAGGGAGCTGCAGGTTCATCATTCTGGTCCCCCCCCCACCCCCGGGTGATGTTGGGTGGGGCCTTGCTCAGGGTGCCTGTTCCTGTTTGCTTGTGTCTCCCCCTCCCCGCCAACTCCCCAGGCTACACCCAGGGAAAACTTTCTGGCCACTGGGGATGGAACTCAGTGTCACACAGGCGAGGTTTGTGCTGTCACTGAGCTCTCTCTCCCGGGCTCCCTGCTTGAGGTCTGGGGTTGTGGGGAGAGGGGGAAGAGTTTTCTTGTGGTGAAAGCTAGCTGTTAGCATTCCTGAATGTGGACTTGGCCTGCATACTCCTGCCGGAGGTGTGGCGTGGTCGACTCCATGGCCCACTGCACAGTTTGCATCTCCCTGAGCTGGATCTGGCCCTTTGTTTTGGTTTTGTTTTGCTACCATACCTGGCGATGCTCAGGACTTACACTCAGCTCTGCATTCAGGGATCACTCTCCGTTGGGCTCAGGATGGGATGCTGGGGATCGAACCCAGATCAGCCACGTGCAAGGCAAGCATCCTACCTGCTGTACCATCACTCCAGCCTGAGTCTGACCTTGAGACAGACAGGTCATCTCCTGCCATCTTTACCCTCCCCACCCCAGAAGCCCAGCTGGTTTTCTGGCTTTCTGCATCTGCCTGTCCTAGAAATTGCGCCCAAGTGGATTTTTTCATTCGTCTAGTTGGGTTTGATGTATTCCACCTGACAGAATAGTTTCCAAGAGCATCCAGGCCATAGCGTGAGTCTGAATTTCATTTCTCCCCCTCTTTTTCATTGCTGAGTAATATTCCCCATATGAACAGGGCACATTTGGTCTATTTAGCTTTTAAAAAACAACAAAAACCCCCTTAGAGGGTATTAGCCTATTACCAGTATTTTTTTTCTAGCTTTTTTGGGTCACACCCAGTGATGCTCAAGGGTTACTCCTGGCTCTGCTCTCAGGAATTACTGCTGGTGGTGCTTGGTGAACCATATGGGATGCTGGGGATTGAACCTGGGTCGGCTGTGTGCAAGGCACCCTGCTGTCCTATCACTCCGGTATATTAACATGGGGATATTCAGACTGGTGCAGATCTTCAGTTTCTTCTGAAAATACTGATTGCATGGCCCAGGAGGGCCAGGCTTCTGGTGTCCCAGGGGGCACTGTCGTCCAACACGGGAGCCAGTGCCCAGATCCCTGGTGGAGCAGCTTGGGTCCAGCTGCTGCTGATCTGGGCGGTGCTCAGGAGTGCCCACCTGTGTACCCTCAGCAGTCCTGGAACCTCCAGCATACCGGTGTCTGGAGGTACAGGCCACGAGGCTCCCTCCCCCACACACCCACCCACCCCAGAGAGACTTGGTGAGGGAAAGTAGGTGGTCAGGGTATCGCCTGGGGTCCTAGCACAGTGCCAGTGGTGTGGCCAGTGTGGCGTGGTATCATGGACTCATCCAGCGGCGCCTCCTTCCAGGCAAGAAAAGGCTTAAGCACTTTGTGGCCCTGGGGAGAGGGGGTCTGGTCAGGGGAAAGCCCTGGTGCCTGGGGTTGAGCTGCCCAGCAGAGTGTGTGTCTGGGGGTGTATCCTTGTCCTGCAGCTCATGCCCTCTCTACCCCGCCCCCCAGGCCCCTGGACCTGAGCCAGGCTGGGTAGGGGGTTGTGCCAAGGTCCGCCCAGCCCCTGGAGGCAGTGCTGAGCCCCTCCTGGCCAGTTCACTGGAATTTCCCATCTGAATCCACACTGCAGCCAGCGGGCCTGACCAGGGACACCAGGCAGAGGCCCTGAGATAGATCTGAGGTGCAACGGGGAGCTTGGGCCCCGGGCTTGTAGAGGTCATGGGATCAAGACCACAGTGTGGCAGGAGTTTGGACTCTGATGCACTAGGCAGAGAACAGGAAGGTTCCAGAAGGAGTGTGGACTGGATAAGGGTGTGACTGCCCAGCAGGGAGCAGCCCTTGGGGGGAGGAAATGGGAGTGGTTTGGCCAGCTGGAGGCCCTTTCCCCAAGTTCCCTGGGGTGCGTTGGTAATGGCCCCACCTCCCGGGACGCCCGTGGGTGCTCAGTCCTGAGGCGGCGGGTAACTGACTCCTTCCTCCCTCTAGGCGCGCTGGAGGCAGCAGGAGTGCAGGCCGAGGAGGGGACCAGGGGATGGACAGGGTGTCCAGAAGCAGCAGGGGAGCAGGGGTTGTAGGCTGAGCAAGGGGGTGGGGAGCCATTTGTGGGGCGGCTTTGAGCTGAGACTGGGGCTCCCTTCCCCGCGGAGGAAGAGGAGGGGCAGCCGGGCCCTTCGGGACGGGACGGCAACCGAGCGGAGGGCTGTCGCGCGCGGGACGGGGCCTTTCCCCACCCCCCTGGGCCCTGGGCCCCGGCTGTTTGATGGGCAGCCCGGCTCCGCCCCCGGGCCGGCAGGAGGCCGGTGATTGGCTGGGGCCGAGAGCCGCTCGGTCGCCATGGGGACGCGCTGGCGGCGCGCGTGCCCTGCGCCCCGGCACCGGGACCAAGTCTTCCTAATCTGCGGGGAGGGCAGGGGCGGGGTCCTGCGCGCCCTGGCCTGGGGAGGGGGGCAGGGGGCAGGCCGCTGCCGCCCCTCCCCCACCCGCTCCAGGTGCAGAGACCGGGGGTGGGGGCGGCCGTCCCCCCCCCTCCCCTCCCCGCGAAGCCGAGTGGGGACTCGAGCGCAGGTGTCCGGCCCCGTTAGTCGGGTCCTTCCGGGTTCCCGGGGCGATGCTCCGCACTGGGCAGCAGGGGGCGCGCTCGGCCGTGCCGGGCATCGCAGGGCACCACGGCGGCCGGAGCCCCCAGCCCCGCAGGCCTGGGGGGCCGTGCACAGCGCGCGGACGGGGACACGGGGACACCGCATCCGTGCCCAGGATCCCGGGACGGGGCCAGGGCCTGCCGGGGGTCCCAGCGGAGGCGCGGGGGGGGGGGGGCGCTCCGGGGCTCTTGGAGGGGGTCGGGGCTCACCCCCAGGCCTCTGCCCGCAGACGACTCGTCCTCGGAGAGCGGCAGCGGCAATGGGTCCTCCACCCTGAACCCCTCGGCGTCCAGCAGCACGCAGGGCGACCCCGCCTTCCCCGAGATGAACGGCAACGGCACCGTGGCCCCCATGGACTTCACGGCGGCCGCCGAGGACCAGCCCATCAACCTGTGCGACAAGCTCCCGCCGTCGGCGCTCGGCACCCCCTCCTACCCCTCGGACGGCTGCGCCGACGGGCTGCGGAGCCGCGTCAAGTACGGGGTGAAGACCACCCCCGAGGTAGGGAACAGCCTGCTCCTGCTTCCCTCAGGTTCCCATCTGTAAAGTGGATTTGCTGGAGGTCGGGGGAGGGGGCGTGCGCCTGCTCCCGCACCCGGGTGTTCTGCCCTGAGACTGGAGGCTTGTCCAGCTGCTCCTGTGTTGGTCCCCGCCAGCCCAGGCTGCAGGTGGGTGCCAGAAGCCAGGAGCCCGGGTCCCACCAACAGTTTGTCACCCGGACTCTTTCTGGTCTCTCTTGACCTCAAGAAAGCAGTCACTTGGCTGAGGGACAGGGATTGGGGACTGTGAGGTGCCTGGGGGCCCCCAGGCCTGTCCAGGCTGAAGGCAGCACCCATCAGGGGTGAGCCCAGGGCCAAGCCCCCAGACCACATTTGGGGTCCGAGCAGCAGCTCTTTGCTCCCTGAGGCCGACTCTGCTAGAGGCCCACTGTCCCAAGACCAAGACACTCCCTGTCCCCTGTCCTGTGGGGTGCTGGCCGGCCCGGGTCTCTCCCCCTTTCTGCACCTGCATTGTTTCCGGGTTTACCTGGTTTCTTGGGTGAGGGGTGGTGGTAGACAGAAGACCCCTCCCACCTCCTGCTCCCCACCCCTGGAGCTTCTGGGACGCTTTCATTTTATTTTACTTTGGCTCTGGAGCACACCCCGTGGTGCTCAGGGCTTACTCCTGGCTCAGGAATCTCCCGGCGGTGCTGGGGCTTGAACCAGGTCGGCCGTATGCCAGGCAGGCGCCTTCCACACTGTAGTATGTCTCAGCTCCTGGAATGCACATTTGTCTTGTGGGCCCTCCGCCTCGGCTGGCTCCCCCCATGCCGCTCCCCACCCCCCCAAGCCCATCTGTTCTCACCAGGCTGCTCTGGGGACAGCTCAGTTGTCAGCTTGGGCTTCAGCCCCGAGGGGGCGGGGATCACAGTCAGGGCCGGTTGCCAACACAAGTCGCAGAGGCTGGCTGGGGGGCACGGGGTGGGGTGCATCTCTCGGCACCCGCCTCTCCTTGCGTCAGGCGGGGCGTCCGGGGCTGCGCTGGCACCTGTGGGCTGGGGTGTGGTCATTTGCTCAGGGTCTTGCGACTGGTGTGCGGCCCATCCCAGCCCCCGAGCTCCCCGGGACCCATGGGGGGGGGCCCCTAATGACCCTCTTTTCCCTCCTTCAGTCCCCCCCCTATAGTTCGGGGAGCTACGATTCCATCAAGACGGAGGTCAGTGGCTGCCCAGAGGACCTGACCGTGGGCCGGGCTCCCCCTGCGGATGATGATGACGACGACCACGATGACCACGAGGACAATGACAAGATGAACGACTCAGAAGGCATGGATCCCGAGCGCCTCAAGGCCTTCAACGTGAGCGCCTGCGGGGGCCCGGGAGTGGGGGGAGGGGGGCGGCGGGGGGCAGGGCGCCGTGGCGAGCAGCCCGTCCCAGCGGCCACCGTCTCCCACAGATGTTTGTGCGGCTCTTCGTGGACGAGAACCTGGACCGCATGGTGCCCATCTCCAAGCAGCCCAAGGAGAAGATCCAGGCCATCATCGAGTCCTGCAGCCGGCAGTTCCCGGAGTTCCAGGAGCGCGCCCGCAAGCGCATCCGCACGTACCTCAAGTCCTGCCGGCGCATGAAGAAGAACGGCATGGAAATGGTGAGCCCCCAGCCCCGCTGCGCCCTGGGCTGCCTGGACACCCCACCCGGCTAGTGACTGCACAGTGCGGTCCCTGGCCCACGGAGGCCAGCTTTCTTTTTGCTTGGGGGACCACTCCTGGTGGTGCTTGGGTCTGCTTCTGGCTCTCAGCTTGGGGCTTACTTCCCGTGGGCCCTGCAGTGCCAGGAATCAGACCCGGGACTCCCACATACAAAGCTTGTGCTCCAGCCTGTCGAGCTGTTCCCCTGAGAGTCCTGTCCTGCCCTGTCCCCCTGAGCGGGTGTGGGGGGTGATAACGTAAATTCACGTAGGGATTGTGGAAGAATCTGCCAATATTGAAAGGGCTGAGCTGGAGCGATCCATGTACAGTGGGCAGAGCACTTGCCCTGCATGTTGGAGTTGGAGGCGACATGTGGTTCCTGCAGCCCTGCGGGGAGTGGTCCCCGAGTACGGGGCCGGGAGTAATAAGCCCTGAGCACCGCTGGGCGTGCCCCCAGCACAAAAGCACTACAAGGTCTCTGAGCTGGGAACGACTCCAGACTCTGACAAAGCCCGCTGGGTTAAGAACCCCCGCCGGGCTGTTTCAGGCAGTGTGTGCCCTGGCTGCGTTTCTCTGGGAAGGGTTGAAGAAGTCCCTTGGCACGGAGGAGGCCGGGCCCGGGAGGTGGAACGGGGGTGCCAGAGCCAGAACCCCAGGCCAGCACAGCCCCAACCGTGGCTCTCCCCCTCCACTGCAGACCAGACCCACGCCTCCCCACCTGACCTCGGCCATGGCAGAGAACATCCTGGCGGCTGCCTGCGAGAGCGAGACGCGGAAAGCGGCCAAAAGGATGCGCCTGGAGATCTACCAGTCCTCACAGGTGGGCCCCGCGCACTGGGGCACCGTCGGGCACCCGCCTGCTCTATCCTTGGTGCTGGGGCCACCACAGGGGGATCGGGGTCTGGGTGAGAGGGACCCCACAGCCCCAGAACACCGAGTACCCGTGTTCCTGCAGGGGCACGGAGAGGTGGGCGGGGCACCTTTGCCAGGGAGCAACTGGATGTCCCGTACCTCTAGGCGACAGGACCCCAGGAACGGGGCGGGGCCGTGGGGGTGGACTGGACTGGGTTGGGGTGGGCTTCCAGCGCCTTCTCCCGCCGCTGCAGGACGAGCCCATAGCCCTGGACAAGCAGCACGCCCGGGACTCGGCGGCTGTCACCCACTCCACCTACTCACTGCCAGCCTCCGCCTATTCCCAGGACCCCGTGTATGCCAATGGCGGCCTCAACTACAGCTACCGCGGCTACGGGGCCCTGGGCAGCAATCTGCAGCCCTCCGCCTCCCTCCAAACCGGAAATCACAGTAACGGTGAGTGGGAGCCCTCTGGGCAGGGAGGGGCAGGGTGGCCGCTCCCGAGACACTCACAGGGAAGGGTCCTTCGGCGAGGAGGCTCGGTTCCAGCAGAAAGCCTGGGCCCGGAGAACTAGTGCAGCAGGGAAGGCCTTGCACACACCTGGCTGGGGCTTGATCCCCCGCGCCCCATCTGGCCCCCTAAGCACCACCTGGCGTGACCTCTGAGCACACTGGGTGTGGTCCCACACCACCCCGCCCCCACACAGACACATCAAGCAGAAGGCCGGCTGTATGCTGGGCGCCCTTCTCACGTCCAGCAGGGGCTTGTCCCTCCCTTCAGGCCTCACAGCTGGCCTTGTGTGGGAGGTGAAGGTTCTTTCACTGAGGTGTGGGGTCTCAGCCCTTGCCACCCAACACACACACACACACCCAGAGCACTCCCCAATCCCCCTGGCACCAGCCCTGCATGGATCCTCCACTTCCACCTGGGCTCACCCTCTCACTCCCGCCTAACGCCTCATCCCCTGGGCAGCTCCCCGAGTGCCAGCCGCTCACTCTCGCCCTGCTCAGTGGGACCCTCCTGATTGCAGGTGTTTAAGGCAGGGAGACCAGAGCCACTGGGGAACTGAAGGGTCCTCTGTCCACACCCCTCACCTGGGGGGTCACTGCCCTGCCTGTGCCAGTCGAAAGCTCACCCCCACACCCAGACCTTCCTTGGTGGGGGCTGGGGCGACGGCTGGCGTGGCCCATATCTCCCTGAGGCCGCCGGTCATGGAGACAGACTGCGTAGCCCTGTACACCCTCGCCCGTTTGGCCTGCTCACAGAGTGGGCAGCTGTTGAGGCTGTGGGGACCCTCAGACGGGCTTCCTTTTGGCAGATGTCAGACTTGCACAGTGCCCACCGTGCACCTCCTTGGTGCCAAGATGCTCGCGCCATCCCCATCACTAGCAGCAGGAAACTGCCCTGCTGGGGAGCAGCCTGTTCTCCACACAAACACGGTTCCCTGCCTGGCCCCTGGCCCACTTTCTGATCCTGGGCTGAGGGATCCCTCTGAGCCCGGGTTCCCAGATTAGAAAACCACCAGGGGCCAGAGGGGCACCACAGCGGGTAAGGCGTTTGCCCTGCGTGTGGTGGACCCAGGTTCAATCCCTGGCCCCCCACATAAACCCCTCAAGGCCGATCACGAGTGATCCTGAGTACAGAGCCAAGAGTAAGCCCTGGACACCACCAGGCGTGGCCCCCAAACCTAACCAAACAATAGGAAATAGCCAGCGTCCCCTTGGGAATCTTCTGCTTTCCCAAAAAGAAAGCAAAGCGGGACCCCAAAGGTACCCCAGGCTCCCCTGCCACCCTGAATGTCCCAGCGCCTCCATCCCACCCACGGTGTGTCCCCCAACCTTGGAAACAGCCCTGAGCCTGAAGCCACATCTCGAACCCCTTGCCCCCCCGCAGGTGGGCTGTGGGGGGTGGGGAACAGCATAGCTGAACTTGCCCGCCTCGCACTGGGGTCGCTGGGCTCTGCTCATGTTGGGGTGTCGTTTCACTGCCCAGAGTCCATCCCCCAGAGGCTGGAGCCGGGCTGACCCCCCACCCTGCCCCTGCTCACGCCTCCCCTCGCCTCTCCCCAGGGCCCACGGACCTCAGCATGAAAGGCGGGGCCTCCACCACGTCCACCACTCCCACGCCCACACCCTCCGGCAACAGCACCAGCAGGACCATGCCCAGCGCCCAGCTCAGCCCCACGGAGATCAGCGCGGTGCGGCAGCTCATCGCTGGCTACCGAGAGTCGGCTGCCTTCCTGCTGCGCTCCGCAGACGAACTGGAGAACCTCATTTTACAGCAGAACTGACCCCCCCACAACCGGCGCCTGGAGCGCACGACCCTCGGGAAGGAGGCTGTCCTGGCCCCGGCTCCCTGCCTCGCCAGTTGGTACATTCTGTTTTCTGAAAGAGGTGGGATCCACACGCTGTTTCTCGCCACACTCCAAGCACCTGAAACTTTGGGCACAAGGACACTTTTTTTTTTTTTTGAATCTCGCCACACGGGTGCTTCGATCCTGCTTGGAAGAGGTGGACGGGGCAGCTTTGGAAGGGCTGGAGTGCCCCCCGAGCAGCCGCCGGGGCCACAGCTCTCTGTAGAATCATCTTCGTGGACCCCGATGTTAGACTCCCACCCCCCGATAATTACCTTTCAAGTCTTAGGTGAGCAGAATCGCATATTTATTGAGAAAAACAAAGTGGACCCTTTCTTCCTCGCCCTTTAGTAATTTATTTTTCTGAAAATGGATTCTTTTGTGTTTGTACAGATTGCCAGTCTGTGTCTGTCTGATCAGAAGGATGTGTCCCTGTGACCTAACATTCCATATCACTACACTGGCGGGGCCTAGGGACCGGCGGGGCGGGCGGGGCAGGCACATGCCAGGCTGGCCGGCGCCCCTCCAAGTGCCCAGCCCCGCCCAGCAGCAGGACTCTTCCCACACCCACTGCAAAGCAGAGAAACAGAAATGGCTCCCCCACCCCCAGACGCCCCAGTCCCACGGTCAGCTGTATTCTACCTCACACTCCAGCGTGGGCTTTTTCCAGGATGTGCCCCGAACCTATCCTGGTGGCTGCCCGGGAGGTTCGAGGGGCCCTGACCCTCCCCAGCAGCCACCTGCGCCCCCCCCTGCCCCCAGCCCTCCCAGTGACTCCCCGGGACAGAGTGCGGGGAGCCCCCGTCCCAGGGAGCCGAGCTGCGTGCTCTGCCCGGGCCAGGCCCTCCACCACCCTTTGCGAGCCCCCCACTTCGGGCAGCCGCTGGATAGGAAGGAAGATGCGAGGCCTGGTGGACGGCAACTCCTGGCCCTGTGCTCGGCCGACAGGGCACGTCCAGAGGAGTGGAGAAGCCACTTGGGGTGCCCTCGGGCCAGGCCTTTCCCCCGAGGGACCAGTCCTGGAACAAACCCATCTCCCTGGAGTGTGAATGCGGCAGGCAGGAAGAAAGAGCTGGCTTGGTCCCCTCGGCCCCGACAGGCACTTCCTCTTGCTCAGTGCAATACCTACCAGTGCTGCTAAAACCAGGGACTCGCCCAGACCTCAGAGGCCCCCGGGGCCTCCCCATGGAACACTCCGTAGCCATGACGGCGGCGCCGCCGCTGCCCGCCCCTGCCCAGCGCAGGCAGAAGCCCTGTTGTTGCCTTTCCTCCCTCAGCGCAAGGAGGCCCCCGGGGAGCCAGGGCCACGTGGACCCCAGGCCAGCCACTGAGCGCCACTCAGCCCCCAGAGCAGGCACCCCCTGCCCCCCACCCCGCTCTCCTCTCTGCCACCCACAGGAGGGGCAGGGAGGGGGGCCCTCGTGTGGCTACCCCACACTGCCTCGGACCCCCGACTGAGCTGGGGGCCCCAGAGCCAGAAAGGGCAAGGGAGGGGGGACGCGCGCCCGCCCGCCCTGTGCTTGCTTCCGAGCAGAGGCTGGGGGTGGCCTTCTCTTCTCTCCAGTGGCCTCTGACACCCCACCCAGCCACACCGCTTCTTGCCTTCCACCGGCCCCCACCCCGCAGGCCTCCCCCAGGCCAGGCCCCCCCCACCCCCCCACCCCTTCGCACAGCACAAACTCCAGCGCCCAAGGCCTCTTCCACGCCCCAGCCATGCTCTAGTCCAGCCCTCACCTGCTCAGCACCGATCCCGGATGTTTGAATTTGTGTAAATATTTATTTTTGTGTGTGAACAATACTACAAAGCGATCAGTAGATCTTTTGCAAAATGTTACCCCAGGCAATTTGTGAAAATCTTAAATGTTAAAAACTGGCAGAGACAATCGCCGCCTGAGACGTCTTGATCTCAATTGCTCAACATGTCATTTTTTTTTTCCCTCCCGGAGGCTGGACCCACACCAGGCCCAAGCGGTTCACGTTTCTTAACAGACAGGAGTAAGGAAGACTGGGGAAGGGGCTCCCGCCGCCGCCAACACCCCACGAGGGATGGGATCTAAAAGATCAGTCTTGCGCTACCGTTTGAAGTCGCGTGTTTTTTTTTTTTTTTTAACCTGAGTTCAAGCTGTCCTAACAGGCCCCCCCCCATCGGCACTGCGCTCAGCGTAGTGGCATCGGTGTGTTTCCAAGAGAAAGGAAAGGCAGAGTGCTGACGTTCTCTGGGGCTCCCAGCCGCCCCTCCGGGACAGCCGATTCTGCCACGCTGACACCCCCTCTTGCGGCGGGCTCCTTGCCTGCTACCCAATGCAGCTCTGTGAAGGGCAGAATCAGGAGCACGTTACTGTGTGGAAACAGGACCCCATTAGCTAGTTCAGTCAGGGAACATGTTCTGTTTTGCTTTGGTTTTGGAAGATGTAGCTTCGACCCTTCTCGCACCTCCTGACCCGGAGAGTAGCACCCACCATCTGGTTCTGCTGAACCTGGCTTCCCTCCCCTCCTCTCCTCCCCACCCCCCAGCCCAAGCCATCTCCTGGAGCTTCTATCTCAAGCCACTGTGCGCGCGGAGGCCCTTGGGGTACCCTAAGTTAGAGACTGAGTCTTGGTAGGGGGGCTGAGTCAAGAAGAGACTTAGAGAGGGACTGAGTCTCTATGGGTCATCTCAGAACCATCACCACGCCTACAAAGGGACCATTTATACCCAAGGACAGTGTTGAGGGCGGGCGGAGGCAGGGATCAGATCGGGTGACTTGCAAACGGGTGGAGCCCAGGCCACCCCCTTCCCCAGGGCCACTCCAGGGGCGCCATAGGATTAACTACCAGTTCATTCTCAAAATGCTGCTTTGAACTCAGAGGGTTGATACTTTTAATTTGTAATTTTTTGTAAAACTTTTTACAAGATAGTAAAGTATTTCATCAGAATACCGGTTTCAATCCGTCCATGGTCTGATTTTTATATAATTTAGTGGTGCTTTAGAGACTTTGTTTTTGTTGTTTCTGAGCTAAACAGCTCAACCCTTTTCCGCCTGTATCTACCTAAGACCAATGTGAACCTTTGTATTTTTGCTCCTAATTTTGGACTCAGTGAAAGTGTACTGTTTACATGTACAGATGCCCCAGTCCCCTGTGTGTCCTGCAAGACTCTCTCGAGGAGGAAGGCGCACCTCACTAAGCTCATCTGCTTAGCAAAGCCACAAAACAAAAACCTCTCACTTTTTACCTATGTTTCCACCTAAAAAAACAAAAACAAAAACAAAACAAAAACCCTCACCACAGAGATTTGCCGAACACTCTTGTAAGCTCCGCACAGCTGAGGTCCCCAGAGGAGCAGGCCCAGAATAGGCTTCCGGCCAGCACCGGCATGGACACCAGCAGTCGATGCCGACTTGGCTGCAGAGCTGTGGGATGGCGCGGAGGGGGGACCTCCCGCAGCCCAGCCGTGGGGAGGATGAGAGGACCCCAAGACCTTCAGGGGTCAGACCCACCCGCGATTGGATTCTGGGACACAGAGAGGTCCCGACTCTGGCACTGTGGGCGTGTCCCAGGACCAGAGCTGAGACCGGGCAATGCAGAGGGCACAGCACATCTCTCCAGGGCTTCCCTGGAGGCAGCTTGTGCAGGAGGCACGGCTTCTGGGGTGGGGCCGAGGGCTCCAGACGGTTAGCATATGGCACTTAAAGCAAACAGTGGATGGCACCCACTTTTCAAGGTGAATCTTTATTACTGAATCAGTGGCTTCACCTCTGAATGGTATTTTTACAGACATGCACCTATGCAACTTCACGTGGCTCTTCTAAGCAGGCGAGGACTTCCTCCTCAGTGCTCTATAAAAATTTGTGTTCTATATAGTGAGTTTTTCCAGTACATGTGGCTTAATATTTTAATTCTTAGAATGTGTCTTCTCTATGTGATGCAACTAAATTCTGTTTTGTTTGTGGAATGACTAGCACAGGCCAACTCCCTCTCCCCCTCACTTAACAAAAGACCAATGAGCTGTTGATCGAGCTGTTTATCTCCATGGTATTACTTGCTAAATGCACTGATTTCATAAGTATGTGGAATCCTTTTTCTTTTGAATCTGTATATCATATATAAGACTGAATCTACTTAATAAACACTGAATAACAAACCAAAGGCCTTCTCGCCACTCTGTCCTCTCGGCAGCAGCCCAGCCAGAGCCCGGCCCCTCTTCCTTCCATCTCGAGCTGGCCACTGAAATACCAGCTCCCGAATCCACCTTTTGGATCAGGACGCCTGCACTGTGGCACCTGCCCGCCATAGGGGAAGACAAAGCCCTCCTTCTGGGCTGGTACTGCTCGCTGGGTGCCAAGCCCTGGAAAGTACCATGCTGGAGTCTCGTGTGCTCTTCCGGAGAATGCACTCCCCCCGCCCACGTCTCAGAAATGCAAGCCGTAAGCAAGCAAGGTCCCAAATCCATGATTTCTCTCTAAACTAGGCACCCGCCTCCAGCATCCCGTATGTGCTTCCATTGACTAAAATTACTAACAAAACAGCTCCTGGGTGTGGCTTGGGAGCTGAGAGATCATCGCCGCTGCTCTGAACCTTTAGTCCCAGACTTCCCACCCATCCCCAAACCCTTAATTTCGGGGGAAACAAAGGGGCCACTCTTGCACAAGTATTTAAGTTCCAGGCATAAATGAGTTTGTTGAAACTGCCTCTGTGCATACGGATACCAGACACATACGGCACAACAGGGGTCTTGGGAGTACTGCTTTGTAAAGGCAGAAGAGTCTTCCCATCGAATTTCTATGGAGTAGTCCAATACACATTACAGACAGGGCCAACGGTCCGAAAGCACTGACCCATGAGCGGGACCCTTAAGACCAGCAGTCCCAAGCACTCCCTCCCCTCCACGTGACACCGTGGGCCCAAGGGCCACCAAGGCTCAGGAGCCCATAGAAGCACCTATCTGGTCCAGACCACCACTGCCATGAAAGCAAAGACACCTGGACAACCTGGCCCCTGCGCACGCAGACCCAGGGGTCACCCTGAAAAACGCTCACCTCGACACGCAGTGCCGCTGCACCGGGGCTAGAGAAGCTGGTAGAGGACGGTGAGAAGTACCTTCAGCCCTGTCCGGCTCCTTCGATGGGACTCCAGGCCACTGTTGTGAACAGCGGACAGGACAGTGTCAGAGCGCAGCACCCTGAGGGAATAGTGAGCTCAGACAGACCCGCTTGTGTCACGGTGCATGCAACTGTGTTTCAGGAAAGAGCCAGACCACAGGTGCTGAGGCTCTTGCTTTGCATACTGCAACCCAGCTTTAACCCCAGGCACCATAGAGATCCCCGCTCCACTCCCCCATCCCCCCAAGCCCTTGGGGTCACTCCTGAGCACGGAGCAGACCGCCTCTGTGCTGGCTTAGAAACAAGGGAAGTTTAGTAGTTACAGGAAACCCAAAAGTCCTTTGCAAAGTTACCTTTCCCCACCTTGATCTTTAGTATAAACTTAGATACAAAGCCTTATCCCCAGAAAGGCTGTCTTTTTGTCACTCTTCCTTAAGCTTTTTTGTTCTTAGTTCTTCGCAGTTCTCTGCAGGCTTTCAAACTGATGCAGAGATGAGGGTGATGACAAGACACCCTTCTTGGGGGTCCTCTACACAGACAGGCAAGGTTTGATTTCCTGAAAAGCAGGCTGGACATAAATCTATGATAGTACCTGG